AAAACTAATACAGTAGTGCATATGCCATACTAATGTTTGTCTGAGAGACAATTTAAGCTTTCATATGATATACAATATTATTATATCTGTCACTTGCGCAATATTGCTAAATAAAAGTTCTGAGCTCCACACACCAAGCATTTAGGTTGGTAAGATAACAAGAGAGCTATCGGAGTAAATCTTTATTACAAGCACTGCATTTTTAATGAGGTCCTGTTACTAAATCTAGTGCACAATGTCTCATTTACATTTTTAGAGGTCACATGGCTATATATGGGCATACATTGGTAGAATGCAGCAAAGTATGTATTCAGACATTACCCAGTTGTTTTGACATCAACACTTTGGTCAATATTCCTGCCATAGTATCGACTTGTGATACCTCATATTAACTCATGTCGATTATTAAGGTAAATTGTGGGAACACAAACAAATTAGAGATGAAAACATTTTTTTTGTTTCAAAAGTTTTACATAATTGATTTGAACACATCTCAGCTTTTTGTTCTCCAATTTTGTTTGGAACTACCTTCAAGTATATGCCAAAATGAACAATTTTGAAATTAGTTTCATAGGAATGCATGTTCAATTGTTATTTCACAATAAATAAATATTTACCATCAGAATTTCCTAACAATTCATGACCAGGAATACATACCTCTTAACTACACATTTTCACACTCTCTGCAGTCACAAATTTGGTGATATAGCAAGACCTATTATTTTTAGAACAACCACCAATGGTAAATGACCCCAAAATCAATATTTTCATATGAATAGCACAATATAAGTGACATTGTAAAATTCAAGAAAATCTAATCTATTTGTTGACACGTTTCCAAACTGTTTTATTTCAATGTTGAAAATTGTTTGTGGGCAAGTGAATGAAAACTATGCGATATCTAAATATTTCTGCAAACCGTGTTTTAGTAAACTAACAAAACTGTCTAAACTGATAACATATCAACTTGCCCAATTCGGTCTGTGTTTGCAACAAATACATCATCTCTCTCAGATGCAGCACTAAGCACGTTTTTTTGATGGTCAGTAAGCTCGTTCAGAGCAAAATGCTAGATTTTAATTTTACAAAGTAATGTGTCGTATCTATCATGAGTTCTGATTCGGTAATGCAAATGAGCCCCAGTGAATCTTATAATTGTTTGAGGGCGTGCGACATACAGTAAATCATGGTGAAATCTGCCAAGGGTCGAGGCTTTGGCCGAATACATGGTCTTTGGATGGCGAAGACAGCAATTTTATGGCATTTGTTATTATATTGTTCCAGTGAGTTTTCAAATTTAAGAAATAAAGTTTGAACATGATTAGTTGAGTATTGTAGAATACTTTATTTTCGCTTAGAATTTATTTTCGCTGAAGGGATAATTCCGTGAAAATAAAATCCAGCGAATATACATTTTTTCCTATATTTTACATTAATCTCATCAAAAATCAGTGAAAATAAATTCCAAGCAAAACGCCCAAAAAGCCATTTCAGCGAAAATAAATTCCAGTGAAAATAAAGTATTCCACAGTATGTCAGAGATACAGCCACAGAACATTATTTGATAAAACAAATAGCCACCAGCCATCCCAAGATGCATGTGATTGGTTCAGACATGTCCAAGATACAAATGAAGACACAGACATGCACATCTCAAAATATAAGTGCCTGTTTTGCCCAAACAGATGAGTTGAATCTGTTTCCAGTATGTGAAAGACAACTATAGCTAATCAAGCTGATGGGTCAAAAATAATACAACCAGGCAGCACTATGGGGACAAATATAGCTTTATTGATGACTAAATACAATCAAAAAACTACTTACACTACTAGTGTTTAGAAAACCAAAATCACACTGATAGCAGTAATATTGTGTGTAGAAAACAAAAACTAATATTTTTTATCACCCTTTTGTATCTCACCCAATTATACAGTATAACATCCGAAACGGGAAATGCAATTCAGAGAATTGTATGTGAATATGCAGTGGAATTCATGCATATTTTTCACAGATGTGACCCCACCCCACTAATGCATTCCAAAATGAAAATATTTTGATATTTGTAGTTGATGCAATCCATGGACAAAGATTCAAGGCAAAGCAGTGTTTCAATTTTGGCCACATTACTATAAAATGTGCCAGTAGTGGTCAAACGGACGCAAGGGTTAAACAAAAATACCATATCACAATGTTATCAAACTCTGATTGCTTTCAAATACTTTAAATAGATACCATAATGTGAAAATAAAAATAAAGAAAATCTTTGCGGTTTTACTACATGGGTACAGTAGATCATATGTTACAAGCTTGAATGAATGGGTTTCAATGCACATTCATTATTGTAGATAATGCCAAAGAGACTGAAAACTGGCAAGACCACAATATCAAGTGTACAGAGAGCCGGGTATTTGCTAATATGTGCAGGTAGTTGGTACACCCATGAGAACTGATATAATACATCTTAACTCTCAGCTGGTTGTTCACCTTCTGCTGATGGTTCATACTGTAACAACTGTAATCAAAGCAATAGAAACAAAGATTAAACATTTGTTATGAATATATACAGATATCTTGACAAAGCTTGATAACAGCACGTCCTAAACATGCTGGGGTCCAAACAGATGTAATTTAGGTTTTATTTCCACATGCCATGAATGTAAACATGACAAAAGATGTGTTTATTTTGGCACCATATTGAACTGTCATCAAATAACTTGTTATGAGATATATTGTTATACTGCCTTTGTTTTGAAACGGAACAAAGGTGAATGTTATGGAGCGTTTTTTATTTTATTAAATGTGTTCCAAAAGCCAGGTAGTTATTAGTTGCTTAATATGCAGCCAAATCACGATAATTATGATTATACACCCATTTTTTGTGCTTGAATGCATTTGAACAGATATCAATTCGATGTATGAATTTGATTTTGTGTACATTTTTAGGACGCATATTGCATATTTTCTCTGCATTATTCAAATAATTGTTACGTCTTAGATGAATATTTAAGCGCTTTCATGATCTTCATGTATTTATCGACATACACATACAACCATCACATTTTTAACAGTGACAGAATCTTGTGCTAAAAATAATTTAAAATTACACATAGCATAATTAACTAAATGAGTTGAACAAATAATCCATACAACGGCTGCCCTCTTCCTCCAGTGACATACTACAAATAAGCTTTTCGTGATCAATCAAGTCAGTGAAAATATTTTTTTAATTTTGTTGACGCCATGTTATAAACCATGATGATACATGTCAAGTTAACAAGTCAATCATGAACGAGTTGAAATTATGTAGTTTGCTTTGTAGTTATACTGTACTAATAGTCTACTAAACAAACATTAAACCAGTCCACAAGACTACCACATTTTTTTACCCCTTTCAACAGTGCTGTGACTTGTAGGCCAATCAATGCACAAACTCAGAATAGCAATAGGCAGTACCAACACAAAACAGTGATTACAAAAACACTGAAATAGAATAAAAAATGATTTTTGCAAGAACAAATTATTTATACCTTTGATTTCAGTTCACTGTTTTCTTCGTTGAGTTGCTCAATTTTTTGTCTGAGTTCAGTCACTTCTAGGCGCAGGGCTTCAACATCTGCTGTGTCTGGACCACCAGTTCCAAGATTTTGTTTTAAAAAGCTGTAAGTTCTTAGTTAAAGAAAGTAACACAACACAATTGACAAAGAAGAGTAATTGATACACAGTCACAGAGAATCACTTATATGTATGTGTAATAACTACGGACTACATGTGTGCCAGAATAAATTAAATATACATGTATTCCACACAAGCACTGAGCATAAACAAGGTCAGATATTGATAGAGACTGCAATTTTAGTTATTGTAGCAATTGTCATTTCTTGATCCATTGATGTAAGCTCTTCATATCTGTTTTGAATAATTTTACACCTTTACACCATCAACCGCAACAAAATACACACAGTCATACATGAAAGGTTTAACTCGAGTAGCATTTTAATATTTGTCAACAAAATAAAATGACCTCTCCTTCATTATGACCACCAGCATCTCTTGCTTACATATTTAATTTAGAAAACATGCATTGCATGTATAGCAGAATGATGAACTATAAATAGTATCCTACACAGGTGTACACAGAACAAATACAAGTATACAACGTACAAACATTGGATTAGAAAGAAATCCAAGCAACTGTTAAATATCCAACATTCTTTTTCTTGAAACTTAATAATTCATCAACGAATTTACTAGCTTCATGAGTGACGCAACAAATACATATTGGTTTGTATACTGTATATCGGAGAACTTTCTTAATTCGCAGTAGTAAAAATAATTTTTCAAGATCGTGAATAGCATAAAAATGAAAATGATTAAAAACAGACAACATAATATATGCCATGATGTGATCTAGCATTGGCAGGTTTAGTGAGTTTCACTCTGATGGAGCTATGACATCCTAGTTGCAAATAAAGACAGACTCTCAAAAATATAATACAAGTTAATTTAGATTTTAATAAGAAATTAATAAATTATGCAAGTGAGAGTTTCATCAATCTGGCAATTATAATACGCAGTTATCCAATCAAAGACGAGAATTCACACATCAGGTCATTCATTGCATCCACGTATGGTGGCAATGAACTTTCAACATAAATTTATTCACAATGACTGGTCATCATTCTGTATTTGTTGCAAGAATTTAATTTTGTAGAAATGCCTTTGAATTACTGTAAAACACGTCTTTTTAGCTAGCATGTTATTTTAGCTAATCTGTAATTTTGCTAATTCAAAATGCAGCTAATTTAATAGTAAGTATATTCTCACAGGGAGATAGTCAACACTTTAGCTAAATTAAGATTCTGTTAATTCATGCCTAGAGTCGAATCCGCTAAAATTGCATGCAGGTATTTCAATGTGTTCTACACACAGTCACACGTGATAATAAAATAAATACGATATTTACTATATGGGGGCCGCCATCTTGAATGACGCATAAAACTAAATAAGAGACAAGTTGTGAAACGCGTTTTTCAGATTCCTACAAATCAGGACAAAAATACCAATCATTCACAAAAATACGGCCTGTTGGGGTTATATTAAGCCAACCGATAACAAAATTCGGCCTAATTCGTCGTTTTTGTGTGGAAAAATCCCTTGCATACAAACACCTAATTACGCGAAGGAACCTAGAACACTAAGCCGTGGTATTTGAAACCGAAATTGTCATCTAAGCGTTAGGCCGTCGCTGATTGGCTGCTGAGCTGGAATGCCAATTTTAGTTCTACAGTACTTCATAAACCCTTTAGTCACACAGAGGATTATAAAAACATGACTAAACATGTTGTTTGAAAGACTATGTATATAATTTACAAACTATTAAGATTCCTACTTGTACAATACTGTTTCGATTTATCTTGAACCCATGGTTTGATTCCATGGGACAATCTACAACTTAACTAAAATTCAAAAGGATACTCTAGTGCGTTGTTTGGCTTCTCTGGTTCTTCATAAAGTGCAACAAGAACTTTAGTCAAGGTGTCCAACACACCGGCCTTTTCTAGGTATTTCCTGAACTCTTCACGCTTCGAGTCAGCGGCCTAAAAATTAATAAAATACACAGTAAAACAATTATATACATCATTCACCAAGATAAAATGGTATCTTAATTTTTACTGTGTCATTTTAATGACGTCAATAATTGGGGTAAAAATAGATTTTTACCTCCATGATTCAATGAAATTGACACAACAACAAACCCACTTAGCTCAATAATCGCTGTCGGGGATTCCGTGGAATATATATTCTAAAACATATGTAGATAAATATTTTGAGAACTGTCTGACGGGAGACTGCCTCTTATAAGTGATTCTAGTCGCTGTCCTATACTTTGAGCCGGAAAGAAATATTTTCTATTTGCCAAGTACCAGCAAATATTGGTGAACCCATTGGAAAATAAGAGCCCTAGAAATATCGGTGACCATGCCGGAATGTTAGTACCACATACTCACCCTGTAAGTCGTCATTTTTTCAGGTGTTATTGGACAATAATAAGTATCACTGTCAGCTCCAAAGTTTATGTTTCGCTCACAGTAGCTAAATTTGAAAACAAAATGGCGATGTTGCTAGATGCGCAATATAGTTGCGCACAGATGCAGGCCCGACAATTTCTTAGTGATCAATTTCTTTTGATGAAAAAAATATGTTGTCTAAATTGTGACTCATAATCTATTTTTTAAATTAAAAAATATCTGTTTAATGTTATGCTAAATGAATACTAAACAAATTTGTTTGACACAATCCTGTTGTGTTAGTATAGCTTTGTACGAGGTTGAAAAGTTTGACCCATGGAAAGCATTGTGGGTAGGTCAAAGTTTATCGCGGGTAAGTTGAGAAAAAACAATCTGCGAAACCAAAATCGTCCGACTAAATGAAATGAAAGGACATCTAGGTAAGTGCGATTCGCGATGAACAAATTATAATCAAACCGCTCACTGGGTCGAATTATCTAGAACTGTTATGGTATCACACGCATTTTCGATTAACGCTTGGTCAGCAGAAATCACGCTGATCGTTCCCAGTCCCAGCACCATTGCCCCATGTCATTGCACGATGAAGAAGTCTATCCGTGCAGGTTTTAGCGGCGCTTGGGTCCAGATAGGCCGATTCTTTTGGAACGACTGACGAACCATAGGACCTATTCAGACCCAGAACGCCGCAAAACGATGATGGTAGCGGACGATCATGAGCTTAACTGGGTTTGCTCCTATCTCTCACTTGTCATTCTATCAAAAATATTAGTGTTTGTTGAAATCAAAATTGGAGAAAAATATCCTGGGATTATAAATTTATCACCTGACTAGATGCTGTCTATGATCGCGAGACAAGATCAAGAATATTGTGCACAATAACTACTATACTGAACAAAACTTACAGAAACAAACACAGTCACTCTGATTTCTTATAAATTTAATGTCCTTTTCATGAAATTATATTGACTATACTATATTTAATATCAGTATAAGTGAAATTCAGATCTGTCGATAATCATGACTTCACCACAAGTCACAGATTAGTTTTCATCTGTCAAGCCATCAACTCACTCTACCAAAATACTAGTACTCATATATACATTTGTATATATAAATTCAAAGTTGTATATTCATTTATGCTTCATTAAATTAAAGTATTATCAGTTTTCTAATAATGTCAAACTTTAAACTTTCTCTGCCACTACTTGCTAAGACAATGGTTTATAACATTTGTTGTTGACTTTTCAATCAATTCTTTTTGTGTGATCAGTGCTCTGTTAATACCAATAAATTTTCTCATTTCAGATGAAATATTAGTGATTCAATGAAAGACATATTTGGTGACTATATCATTCAAATGTACAGATTTAAGTTTTAATATGAATGAACTTCTCACTGAGTTGATTTCTTGCTGTGGATCATTGAATACAGACAAGGCAACTGAAAGAAAGGTAAGTTTAATTATCTTGCCAATGGTATTATTAAAAAAAATAGAATCAGAAAATTATGACATAATGGTTGACCAAATTTGTGAAAAATTTTGGAAAACCAGATCCACTTCAATAGAATTTGAAAACTTACTGAGTAAATTACTGAGTAAATTAATAGAGCATATTCTAAAATGGTCATCAAGATCTTATTCAGAGTTCAGAGTTCAGAGACAGTTATGAGAATATAACCTTATTTGGGGGGCAAAAACAAGTTGCTTGGCTTTCTCCATCTCAACAAGATCTCAGCAGCCTCTTCTTAATTATGGTCTTTTGCACATGTTTAATACTTGTCAAATCCACATCATCAATGGGCAGAAATTTAACAAAATAGATGGTGGGCAAATTTCTAAATTTTCTTTCTCTTTTATTAATATACTTATATGTAGAACAATGACGATACGTCATATGTATGAGAAGCTGAACTATGAGCCAGGTTGGATAAATTGTATTCCTTTATATTTCTTATTACTGGGATGAATTTTTTTTCTGCATGGCTGCAAGTGTGGAACCACCAGCTCTTAAAACTATTACCCTAATTGAATTTCAAACAAATTTGTTAATTTTGAGCCCTTACATCTATCCTCGGGGGCGGAGCTTCGTCACGGACGTTCTACGTTGCTAAGACGCGCACCACTGTACCACGTATTTATATGGGCTTTGTGCGCGCTGCTGTGGAACGCCGGTGGAGCCGGTGAAAACTCGAGAAAACAACACAAACGCAACTTTGAAGTAATCATGAACAACCAAATTCATATATGTTACACACGTAGGGCTCATCTTATTACACTGTTCAGGGGACTCTCAACAACCATCGCAAAGTACCGTTTTCTGCGAGTTTTTGGTCTTTGTTTTCACCGCGAGGGTTGCCAGGCGGTAGAAAATGCCCGGATGTCCACCCCGAGGATATATATTTTTTCTATTTTACTGTTAAAATA